GGCTTGTTTTACAACGTCGTTGCCAAGCGACGAAAACCCAACCCCGATGGCAAACACCGGGGGGGAGGGCGTGGGGGGGAGGCAAACATTAGCCCCATAGCGCGTCAGACGGAGCGTGAGGGGGAGAGAAAATCGAAGCAGCCCCGTGGCGCATCGNGCGTGAGGGGGAGAGAAAATCGAAGCAGCCCCGTGGCGCATCGGAAGGGGCGAGAGCGGGAACCCCGCGGCACGTCGGAAGGCGCGTGGGGGTAGGGTACTTGCATCGTGGTGCTAAAACGGGAACTCCTTTTGTGGCGAGGCTACAGGCCGGGACGAGCGCTGGGAGGGGAGGAACACGCATCACAGCGCTGGATTGTGGCACTTTTTCTTGAGGGTATTTGGTGTTTGATGACATTCGTAGCGAAGTTGGTAGATCCTCGTGAGTTGTCATGACTGTACTTTGGTTGAAGAGCCAGGAAGGGTGTTCCGTGTTTCTCGTAGGCGTTCGTGCTCATATGTTCAGTATTTCCTGATAGCCATTCGGTTGAGACCCTCATTGATTGCGGCTACGTGGTGCCGTTCTCTAGGTTGCGCAATGTGCAGGAAGATGGGATACTGTTGGAACCGCTGAAGGAACGTAGGAGGAAAAATTGGGACACCAGTGTTGTACTCCACGAGAATAGAGGATTGCCGAAAAAATGCATGCCAGTTATGTGTCGCTCAGAAAACGTTGGATGATTGCCTTCCGCCCCGGTGCGCTGTATTTCATCAGCGAGGGGCGGGCGATTTCGATGTTTGTCTGATGTTTGTTTGAAGAACAAACAGTAGTGCAGCCGCAGTGTAGTTGTTTGAACCAACTCCTCGGGATAGTCTTGCACTTTTACTGCTTGCCAAGCGTTGGGATGGGGTGTTTGATGGAACGGTGAATATTGGTAGGGGTTTTGACCCGGAGGCCGGGTTTCCCCCTGTTGTTTTTTTTCGTTGGTCTTTTGTCCGTTTGTTTTTTTGGTCACATCCGGCGTGTGAATGCCCACTAAGTGGTTAGTTACTAGCGAAAAGAGGAGGGTGTTCGTGTGTGCATGAGCGGATGAGAATATTCCAACGGGACTGTAGGAAGTGGCTATGCAGATAGGAATTGATAGTCCCCTGGGTTGGTTTCATGGTTGATCCACGGGACTCGACCCTGCGAGAGTGCTTGCTGTGTCGTGGCTCTCTCTCTCTCCCGCCGCGTCCTGATCGTGTCTGCTGTCCTAAATACAAGTGATACCATCATCTTCAACACACATACATGGGTATAGTAACACGAGGCAGGAACTTAGGCGTTCAATCTCCGACAACGGTACGCTGAGTTACTCATGCACTACGAGTCGGGGCGGCTTTTTGGTTCGACAATGCAGCGTAGCAGTTGATATCCGGAGCAGGCTCAGAGTGCACCACCAAAAGAGAGCCCCCGACATCACGTACCCAGTAGGGGTGGCACATCAGACTCTTCATATCTCTGGCATGAAGATCGAGGGTTAGGGTTGTGTCCCGTACTCCGCTTATAGATTCGTCTATTGCAAAAGGAATGGCTTCATTTGGATCAGAGACACGTAGCATGACAAGGTAAAAACTCAAATTTGTTGTTGGGATCCCGCTCGTGGTGGCAGCACACGTAGGGACGCGTGTGACGGCGGTGGGTTAGCTTACACGAGGTTGGCATGATGCACACAACCCTTGATTGAATAACCTACTGAGCTCACATAATAACGTATTGCAAAAGGAATTGCTCCATTTGGTGCAGAGTCAAGTAAGAATTACGAGGTCAAATTCAAAGTGTTGGTGGAGGGTTACTGTGGTGGTCAGCGTCCACGGGCACGCTTGTGTGTGTGAAGCCGAACGGGTGCATCTATATCAGGCTGGCACGACACAACAAATCCTTGATTGATTGTCATGCAGCTCGCATGCTCACCTATTGAAAAAGGGTTAACTTCAATTGTGTAAGAGACACCCAGGCATGACGAGGTCAAACCTAAATAATATGCCGATATAGATCCTCCGCGTTATTGGTAATCGTCCGCAGGCACGTGCACGACCTGGTGCACAGCCCTTCGAAAGCAGGCCAAAACAACGCATCACACAAGAGATCTGTATGTAGCATCTACCGCTGGCTGGTGTACGTAGTATGCTATTGAATCGAGATCCAACCTTCCAAGTTCAATGTTTATGTCTTGTACTTGGACCCACGTTACATGTGATTTCGGGGCGGTACCCGTTCGTGCTGGCCACATGTCCAAAGAAAACTATAAAGTTGGACGCGTTGATCCAGCGACAGTTCGAGGTGGTACCGCGAAGAAGAGTACCGCTGCATTACAAACTTGGAGACTGACCCCTAACTTATTGTCGTTTCTTTTGTTTGACGATACCCAACCTCGCTTTCAGGGTGGTTTTGTGATTTCGGGGCGGTACCCGTTCGAGATAGCCACATGTCAAAAGAAAACTTCAGTATAAAGTTGGACGCGTTGATCTGGAAACTGCCACCGACAGTTCGAGGTGGTACCGCGAAGAAGAGTACCCCTGCTTAACAAACTTGAAGACTGACCCCTACCTTATGGTCGTTCCTTTTGTGTGACGATACCCATCCTCGCTTTCAGGGTGGTTTCATGCTCGTGTGCAATCACGCAGCTCCATGGCAACCCGGGACAGAAGGCTGGGTTTCCCACCCCCCCCAGTGCTGCTCTCCCCGGGACTGGGTGGTTATACACCGCCCGTGTCCCCGCGGCATCTGGCCGCTGGCCAGCAGACGGAGAACCCATCATCTCCAGCTACTACGATAGGCAACGAAGAGGGAACGCTACGTCGCGACAACGCTGGGGGGGCAGTACAGACACCTCGGGCAAGTAGAGCGAAGCGCCCGGCGCAAGATTCTGGCGCGAGGTTGAAAGGTTCGGGGCGAAGATCAGGGAAGAAGCGTCAGGCGAGGGTTAAGGCCAGACGTTCTTTGGCTCGACCACAGCCGCAGTTGCAGCAGAAGATTGCAGATATGGACTACGAAGAGCAGCAGTCGGTGGCGAAGGCGGAAGCAAAGGCCCGCAAAGAACGTGAGATCGCCGAGGTTGAGCGTCAAAAAACGGCGAGGACTACCCCGGGCGTTCGTTCTCGGCGGCGAGTTCAAGATGAGAAGAGACCACGAGCAGTTGCCGATAGTGACGCAAGCACCAGAGAGAGGAAGCCGCGCGCGAAGGCATGCGGGCGCCGGGAATGCGGTTGTGTCACCAGCACGCCCGGCGAGCCATGTAAACTGTGCTCACGGGGGGAGCATTCGGCAGGAGAGAAACTGTGTGCTGCATGTTACAGGTCGGCGGACGAGAGAGGCTTCACGCACATTGTCAGTCGCATTTTTGCGGCTGACAATCTCTGCGCCAGTAGGACGAGTCTACCCGGGAGCGCCTTGCCTGGGTATCGTCCAAAAAGCAGTCATTGCCTCTGCCGACGCGAAGACTGTTTCCAACACTTCGTTGTTCAGAGCTCCAAGACGGGGCTGAAGAGGAAATGCGACGGTTGCAAGCGAGCTTTCCCGGTAAAGGGAACGAAATGGTACACCGACGTAGACGTCAAGGACGGGGTGGGTCTTCCCGTGAACCATCTTGGTGTTGCAATCCCTGCTATTTGCGGGACAGGAGCCGATGTTCCACCGTCCATGGGGGGCGACGGGAGCTGACTGGTTCTCAGGGTACGATAGCCGTATTGAGGTATGTATCTGCTCCCGTTTGAGTCTACCAACTTCTCAACCACAAATTGGGGGTGAGGCACGGATTATTTTATTTGTGGTCCAATTTCATGTCTTGAGCACGTACTACAGCGCGCATTACGCCGACCTAAATCCCAGGTGATCTTTATCCACATGAACCAACTCCCGTGCTTACCGCGTGCACTTCCCGTTGTTTGCCGTTGCTTCTTTTGCTTGTGTGTGACAGAATGGTGGCAGTGACGACGACAGGTTGCTCTGTGCGAATTAGCTTATGGTGGAGAAGGAGGAGACCTCGGAGAATTGGTTGTGGGGAGGGTGTGCTTGGGTGGGGGTGGGTGGTGAACGCACAAGCTGGATAGATAGGTGGCACCACCACCGTCAGCCCTCCTTGCTGCAATCCTTGCCTTTATCTCATTCGTCATAGTTCGGCTCTGGGGTCCTGTGGTGTAGAAACCTGTGTGTGTATGTCAAGTTATTTTGTGTACTTGTCTTCTTGTGGTCACGAACTNCGCGCATTACGCCGACCTAAATCCCAGGTGATCTTTATCCACATGAACCAACTCCCGTGCTTACCGCGTGCGCTTCCCGTTGTTTGCCGTTGCTTCTTTTGCTTGTGTGTGACAAAATGGTGGCAGTGACGACGACAGGTTGCTCTGTGCGAATTAGCTTATGGTGGAGAAGGAGGAGACCTCGGAGAATTGGTTGTGGGGAGGGTGTGCTTGGGTGGGGGTGGGTGGTGAACGCACAAGCTGGATAGATAGGTGGCACCACCACCGTCAGCCCTCCTTGCTGCAATCCTTGCCTTTATCTCATTCGTCATAGTTCGGCTCTGGGGTCCTGTGGTGTAGAAACCTGTGTGTGTATGTCAAGTTATTTTGTGTACTTGTCTTCTTGTGGTCACGAACTTGCCGTGTTGTTTGGAGACAAGGACTGCTGTCTACCTCGACCATCTTTCCCAGCGGGTGTGACGTTCTGGAGTCAGTTTAGTATGCTTGTCTTGTTTTTTGTGTCACTTTTGGCGCCGCTGACTGTTGCAGTGATTTGACTGTATTTACCATTGGGCCGACTTTAGAAGCAGTCTTGATTGGTGAAAGTGTGGACTACTGGTCGACCCAATTCAAATCAAAGCGTTGGACAAAATTTGGCCTTTCTTCTACGGTAACGTCGTACGCGTACTTCGGCGGCGGGGAAGTTGTCGGTCCACCGTATTTTCCTGTTCACTCCTGTTCACACGTACGTTAAGCTCTCCGTGGACAGCCCGGGACGTCGCCCTACCACACACTTTCTACGCGACAATGATGTGCGCCCTGCAGGCGATGTATGCCCACAAACTTCTGGATGGACACGTTTACTCAAAAGTTATTTTCAAAAGGTATAGAAGTATCATCGGCCAGGTTTCGCTTTCCCCCGGGGACACAAAGCACTTTTTCGAGCGTGTTTTTTGTCGCTTATTCAAGCCCTTACTCCAGCCAGAACGGGGCCGACAAAAAATAAGATCGCGAACGACAGGTGAGAGAGGTCCGGGCTCTCGTATTGGCACCGCCACTTTTTTTTTTTGTCCCGCATTTTTTTCGCGGTGCCACAAAACCGCACAGGTGGGTGCCAGTTCAAAATTTTGGTGCACGCCGAGTACGCGTACTCGGCTTGTACTGCATGAAGAAACATAATTCAAAGTGCTGTACAACCATGAAGGAAGCAGCTACAAGATACGGGGCGCCCTGTTGTCAACAGTTGTGAGACACCTAAGCATGAAGCTTGCGCGTGGATGCCGTTTTTCGACCAAATCCGTCCCTTCCTCCGGCTACGTGGAACACATAACTGCCGGATTGGCCATCCTACTCTCCATACAGCAGTTTGCTTTGGTGCCAAGTTTCGTGCCAATTGGCAACGTATTCAGCGCGTTCTCGTGTTCGCCAGGAAAGTGCCGTCGNTCCATACAGCAGTATGCTTTCGTGCCAAGTTTCGTGCCAATTGGCAACGTATTCAGCGCGTTCTCGTGTTCGCCAGGAAAGTGCCGTCGGCTCGGTAGAGGTTCCGCCGCGTCCATGGGGCCCGGTGCGCTTTCCCATATTTTTTTTGGGCCAACTTGAGATCTTCCACTACTGAGTTCTAGCGCTGTAGCCTTTGGAATTTCATCCTAATTGGGCCAATCGCTAGCTATTGGAGGGTTCTACAGCCGTAGCGCTTCATCTTGGAGGGTTGGCTCTGCTGTAGGCGTGTACAGCATGGTAGAGTGCGAATTGGTGCTTACGTACGTCCGATTTTTTTTTTTCTATGCGCAGCACTGGTAAGCCGGGTCCTGTGAGCGCGCCTCATCACACGGGCGACGGTATCACACCCCCTTGTTATCACACCCCCTGTAAGCCGGGTCCTGTGAGGGCGCTTCATCACACGGGCGACGGTATCACACCCCCTTGTTATCACACCCCCTGATGTTGAGACTCTGTGAGTGCACTTTATCACACAGGTGACATAAGATATCACACCCCCTACAGAATACCACACCCGTGTGATAACTTTTGTCCCCCCGACGGATGTGGTATCTTAAGCAACCTGCGGTAAGCATACAAATGTATCATGACTGACTCCATGTTTTCAAGTTCTTTTTCAGCTGTCCTTTCGGCTGGACGCCATCTTTCATTTTTTCGGAGCTATTTCTGTCTTGATTATTGAAAGCAAACCGCGTAAGTCATATTCGTTGTCAGTTTTGCCCAGCGCCGACAGTCGGGGATAGGGTGTGTTGCGAATGGATCATTATGTTCCTCATTTGCGTACGTTTAGAAAAAACGAACGTGACTGACTTCGCTCGGGCAGGGAGGAACCGACCGCTCCACGGCGGGGGGGGTGCTGGTAGCAGATACATCCGTGGAGGATGTAGCTAGCGATGTGTTTCCACTACCACAGGCGTAGACTTCTCACCAACGTTCTCGCTCAAAACGTACCAGAAACAAAGGCATCCACCTCGAGCCTCTTCACGAGGCACTCAGACCTTCATCAGGACCCGCACACACACGGTATATCCCGGTGAATCCTTGTGGGTGATTATTTCTCGTTTACCCACCTGCACTCACGCACAAGTGTTTACCTATCCACTGGTCTATTGTTTCCATTTCAATACACCCTCCGACCTATTCCCGTTCAAGCTCAATGCGAACGCCGTCATGGTAGTATACAGCAAACGGGTACCCGGCACGAGATACGCTCAAACACACAACGACGTGCTGACCAGTCCGACCATATGAGAACAACACTGCTGTGTAGTGCAAAACAGGCGAACGACAACAGCTGTGTAGTGTAAAACAGGGGAATGCCGATAAAAGAAAAAAATACTAAACTACTTGATTGGCCAACAGCTCGGGACCAGTAAACGAAAAAGTCCACCTTTTCATCGCGCCCCTAAGCACCCAACCGCTTCCGATAAAACCAAAGAACAAGACAAACCGAGACAGCAACAGACGTGCGTCACCGCCCGCGCTCACGTCCCAACACCAAACCATCCAGTAGCAGACGTGGCATCCCAACAAAAGGCTCCCGGCACAAACGCAACGCGTTATACCGATCAGGCAAACTAACCAAACATGCATGACTAAATGTTTACAAAGAAAACAAGCCGACAGCGTAGTGCCCTACGTTTATTGCAACCAGGGCAATGTAGAGGGAAAAAATGAGACGCACGTAACGATACACACCAAGGAAACCGAAAGAGAGAAAACAACCAAACAAAACCAAGGGGTGAGCTCACAGCCAACAGGCCGAAGGAAAAAAATCAGCTGAAAGGAAAAATCGGAACTACATGCCCGGCGTAACCCTGGGCAACCACTATTTACTTCAACATGAAGAGCGTGGTGGTGGCAAAATGTGACGTTAAGCGCTCAGATTGCCGCAAAAAATATCCGCCGAATACCGACTGAATCCGGTGGACAAACCAACATAATACACAACACACACACATCCGATAGCACTCTTTATCCAGCAATATAAAGGAAAGCGCGACGTAGACGTTGACAAAAAACCAAAGCGTCACGTTCCAGACTCGCGACGTAAACTGCGAGTGCGTTCATGCACCTCTGAACCAAAAATGTCCGGCCCAGTCGCGCCACCGCCGTCCGGGATGATAGTTCCCACAGCCGACATAGCTCTAGAAATTGCTACAACAGCAGTAAGTAGCCATTCGGCTCATGAAACGAAACAACTACAGGCGGCACGATTCCCACGACACGCAATAAATGCCAACAAAAAACGAACGGAGTATAGACAACCCTCACAAAACAAACATGTGGCGCTCGAAAACAACAGAGCAAGCCATCACCGTTCGAATCGGACATCCCTCCTTTAAAGTAGAAGCACAGCTCAAGCTTGCCAGGGGTGGGGGAAGCGGGAAGGAGAGCAATCTACACGTCGTCCAGAAGAAACGAGCTTCCAGAAACAACGCGAAAAAAACAGCTGTGTGAGCCGACGTATCGCCCCCAGTAGGGTAGGGATAGAGCCACCGGTGCCTGGAAGACATTGAAGAACACACTCGCAGCTACCCCGCCCCGTGAACCACCTAGTATAGTGCATCCGTGAGTCCCCATCTAATTACCGTACAAAATAAATACATGTATACACCGGCAAGCAGACGTGCAATCCCCTTAATGTCGATCTTGCGCGTCCATCACGACCATGGAACACTAAATGTATCACCCGTCCACGCTCCTTGATATGACTACATCTACCGCACAAACTATTACCCTCCCACCACATCCATCCCGGCTTGCATATACAAATGAGTGAAACAAAAAAATATTCGTGCGGCTACCCCCGCGGTTACGGCAAAAAGCCACAGCAACATTGCCCCCAACGCCCCATCACTCTTATACAGATAAGCCTGGCCCGGCATCGCTGGGCATGCACACGCGAAGAATATCTCCACTCAAGTTTGTACCACGTTCAACCTTACAGCTCGAACAGAAATAAAAGAACCACTGCTGTAGTGTGTATGTGCGCGCGCGCGCACAGCACGTCAACTGATAGCGGCTAGCGCAAGAGGGGACGAGACGGAAACAAACTAACGGGTTGGTGCTGTTGTTGGATAGCGATCGCCAAAATCACAAAAAAAAAAAAATGCCCGGTAGGTAACATACCCTTTTCCCTTGTGCACATCGACGGGAACCCCAAACAGTCGCGGCCAAAAACACACACACACACACGCACAGCACCGATACTCTAGACGCGGTTCGCGTCATGCCACATCACCAACCATAGGACGCCTCACACTTGGAAAAAAATCAAGAGCTTCTCGCCCTCGTGCGCCATGTGGCTCATGACTTGCTTTTCAGACGTTCAGATCAGACAACGAATGTATTTATAACTCAACAGACCAAATTACATGCTTAGTAGACGGCAAAAACAAATTGTGAATCATTAATCTTCCTCTACGCTCAGCTCCACAAGGCCATGTCCCACGCACTCGCCCTCTGCCGCACGTTTCCGAATGCAAGCCCTTCCATCGGACCCTTCCTGCTCTCTACCCTCACCCGCCCCTCGTTCATAGACCCCGCCACGCCCCTCTCTCGCCTGGCTGCGTCACCCCCGTAACGACCTTCTCCTTCTCCACGACCTGCTTTCGCCGATATCAGCCGAGAGTCTCCCGCTTTGACGCCGTCCCCCAGAACTCCAGCCACGGTGCCCCCAGCACCTGCACCTGACCCCACCGGCACCGCAGTGTCACCTCCACGCCCCCAGTTTCCGGCCATGACTCTCGCCGCCATTGCGGCCACCCTGCCTTTGGCCTTGAACGGAGACGCTGGCGGCGGCGGCGGCGCGGCGGCAGTTTGGGTCCGCGCAGAGGAAGCCGATCGCAAGGTATCTCTCCGGCCGTCGCGACCGCCGCTGCCGTCCACCGCGCCCCCGGTGCCGCCTCTTCTGTTTGCGGTGGCCGAGTAAATCGTCTTGACGGTGCACCCGTCGGCCGTCGCCGCTTCCGCGGCTGCTACTGCTGCTGCGGCTTCTCGGTCTCTTAGCTCGGCCGCCCGAGCCTTGGCTGTTGCCGAACGGCCGCCCCACAGCTCGGAGGCGGCACTCACCGTCCCGGCCGCTACCACCACGCTGCCGCCACCGGTCGCCCTAACCTGCGTCCCGCCTCTTGCGCCCCCGGCGGCAACGGCGGCGGAGCCGTCTTGCGCTTTCCCACCGCCGCCTCCTACCGCTGCCTCCCTACTGTTTCTCTGGCTGGATTCAAGCCTGGTGTCGAGGGCCCCGCATGCGGCCGCCTGTGGTGCCTCGTTATCGTTCAAGCCTGTGGCCGTTCGCAACCCTCCTTCCTGCCCACCAAGGTCAAGAGCGCCGCCGCCCAGAGCACTCCGCCCGAAAGGCTCCTGAGGCAGACCCACGCCAGCGGCGACGGCAGGGGTCACCGGCTCCTCGAACTCGCCGCCAGCAACGGCAACGGGGCGGTCCTCTCTCGACAAATACAGACCCGCACCGGAGACCGCGTGCGATGGAGGCGTGCAAGATATCGTCGAGGAAAGCGACAGCCGAGTAGTGCGGGCGTCGCTGCACGGACTGACGGCGCTGCTCGTAGCTCTCGAGCCACTCGCTTGACCGATCTGTACGCCACCGATGTCGTCGTCCCGGGACATGACGGCGGCGGCGGCGGCGGCGGGAGAGGCGAGTGCTTTCTGCTTGCTCCTTCTGGACTTCTCGGGACCGACGGACATAGCCATCTCGTTGAAGTCGTCCGTCTCCGGGGCGTGGGTGCTGCCGTCCATCAACGGCAGGGTCATGGGCGTCTTGTCCGATTGCTTCACGAGGTCCAGCTGTTCCTGTCGGAGCCACTGCCGCTCTTCCGTGCGCCGGGCACCGGCCCACCCCGCCGCCGTCGCCCCCCCACATTTGCCAATAACGCCGTTACTTGTCCCAACGAAGTCGGCCCGCCCCTTGCCCAGAGGGCATTCGCAAGCTTCCGCGGCGTCTTCCTTACCCACTGCGTCAGTGTTGCCGTTTTCCAGAGAACAAGCCGGAGCGTCGATAGCCGAGCGGGCGGCATCGCCGTCGCCCGGGGCATCATCAGGGCCGAGAAACGGCGGCTCCAGGGTGGTGCTGTGCGGGACCTTCACTTCCTTTGCGCCAGCTCGCAGAGCACCACCGGCGACAGCAGCGGCGGCATCGGGGCCGACGATGGGCCGGAAAGGTTTCCACATGGGCGGGGAGGCGTGCTCGAAGGGAACTACGGCGTGCGCCACCGCGCCGGTAGACGCGCACCAAGAGTTAGCAGGCTCCACCACCACGGCTCTCGCAGCGCGCCCGCCAGCTTCACCGCTTTCGCCGCAGCCCGCTGCTGGCTTAGGTTCCGCGAAGGGGTTCGGCCGACGAGCCGCTACGAACGGATACGGGCACAGCGGCGGCGACGAAGCGGCCGAGCCTCCCCCATTGACTCTAGGAGGCGTAACAAGGATCGCTTCTCTTGTCTTCCACGCGTCCCCCCGGGTCGAGCCGAGCTCCTTTGGCGTGCTAGACAGGGCGTGCGCCGGGCTCTTCGCGTCCTCGGCCGGTGCCACCACCGCCGCGGCTAATGCGTCGTATTCCTCCCCCGGTTTTGCCTCCACGGCCTCTTCCTGCCGCGGTAGAGCCTGTAGCTGCCAGTTTCTCAGCAATGAGTTCGACTCCGCCTCGTCTTCCTTTTTCTCCTCCGCTTCCTTGACTTCCATCGGTGACCCCGCCACCGCTGATCCGTTCCCCGACCTTTCCCCCCTACTCTGCTTCTTCTGGAGCCTCTTCTTCTCGAAGAAAGCCATGGCGTTGGCCCCGATTGAGTCTACAGCAGCGATGTCGGCGGCGTTCATGCTCTTCGGCCGTCTGTCCCAGCTGTTCATCCTCTGCTCAGTCTTAGCCTCCGCCTCCCCGCCGCCGCCGTCCTCCTCCTCCTCCAAGAAGCCGAACATAGTCGCGGCTTCGTGGGACAGCTTCCGCACCGGCGGTTGCCTCGAAGGACCCTTCCCGCCTCCCCCAGTTCGTTTACTGCTCTGAGCTTTGCCATCATTGCCGTCGTCACTGAAAACGCCGGCTTGGTCCGCCACGCCCGCTCCTTTCGAGCCTTGAGGCGTGGAACCCCGACCGGGTGCAACGGCAGGGGACTTTTTCTTTTCGCCGTTTGGTCGGTGCCGTCGGCGGGAGAACGATCTGTGGAGGGGGGTCACGCACAGGAAGAGTAGGGGGGGG